CAGCAAAGGCAGCTGCAGAAGCAGAGCAACGGGTGTTCAGGAGTGTCCCTTTAACCACGCCGCGTCTCTGCAAAGGGCAGGCAGGCAGCAGCACCCGGAAGGAAATGCTGCCCCCATGCCCTGGCAGAAGCGGTTCCGGGTGGCTTTTAATTTCGAAAGAGCATCCAGCAGTCAGGACGCTCTTTTTCAAAAAAGCGGATCGATTTTTCGATCCGCGTATTGTAGTCTAGACGCGCTCTTTCGAAAGAGGCTTGCAGTCTAGACATAGCCTGAGTCTATGAGTCTATGTCTAAAAGAGGACAAGAGAGGATTTAAAATGTCATAAGATTCCCTACAACTGCTTTTCTGTGGATATGTCTATTTCCATAAAGTGCTCCCTATACTCTGCCAGAAATATTCATTGCTGTAATGATTTCTTCAGGCCTTGTTCCTCTACATAAAGATTAATTCCTCCTATCAGGGGACAGAAACAATTCCAGAGGAGCAGATAGAGGAAAAAACAATAGGGTCAAAACTATTTGCTTGTCTTCATCTGTACCTGAAGAGATGAATTTTGCCTTGTCTTTCAGCTGTGGACTTCACTATTGTTTTCCATGCCTTTGCAACTAAAAAACCCAAATATCTCTAATAAGTAACAATTATCAACATACATGTCCTCCATTTCATTTTTATCCATAATTTTCCTGCTCTCATGTAGACGCAATAAATACCTGCACCAATGCTAGGCCAGCGATGAAACTCACCTCATCACCTACATGCCTGGTGTTTTCTCTGCAATTCCCATGACAATTAGAAACATTTCAATTCTGTCACTTATAGACTCATAGACTTTAAGGTCAGAAGGGACCATTATGATCATCTAGTCTGACCCCCTGCACAGTGCAGGCCACAGAATCTCGCCCACCCCTCTTAGAATAATCCTCTCACCTATGTCTCAGATATTGAAGCCTTCCAATACTTTGAAGGCCCCAACATGCAGAGAGTCCTTCAGCTGTGATCTGTGCCCAATGCTACAGAGGAAGGCGAAAAACCTCCAGGGCCTCTGCCAATCTACCCTGGAGGAAAATTCCTTCCTGACCCCAAATATGGCGATCAGCTAAACCCTGAGCATGTGGGCAAGACTCACCAGCCAGACACCCAGAAAGTTCCCTATAATGAATGGTCAATTAGTTACCAAGATCATGTTATTTCATCCAACCATCCCCTTATCATAGAATCATAGAACTGGAAGAGACCTCAGAAGGTCGTCAAGTCCAGCCCTCCGCTCTAGGCAGGACCAATCCCATCTAAATCAACCCGGCCAGGGCTTTGTCAAGCCGAGACTTAAACACCTCTAGGGATGGAGACTCCACTACTTCCCTAGGTAACCCATTCCAATGCTTCACTACCCTCCTAGTAAAATAGTTTTTCCTAATATCCAATCTGGCCCTCTCCCATCTGTCACTACTGAGAACAGCCTCTCTCCATCCTCTTTGGAACCTCCCTTCAGGAAGTTGAAGGCTGCTATCAAGTCCCCCCTCACTCTTCGCTTCTGCAGACTAAACAGACCCAAGTCCCTCAGCCTCTCCTCGTAGGTCATATGCTCCAGACCCCTAATCATTTTGGTTGCCCTCCGCTGGACCCTCTCCAATGCGTCCGCATCCTTTTTGTAGTGGGGGGCCCAGAACTGGACACAGTACTCCAGATGTGGCCTCACCAAAGCCGAATAAAGGGGAATAATGACATCTCTGGATCTGCTGGCAATGCTCCTCTTAATGCATCCTAATATGCCATTAGCTTTCTTGGCTACAAGGGCACACTGTTGACTCATATCTAGCTTCTCATCCACTGTAACCCCCAGGTCCTTTTCTGCAGAACTACTACTTAACTGGTTGGTCCCCAGCCTGTAACTATGCTTGGGATTCTTCCGTCCCAAGTGCAGGACTCTACACTTGTCTTTGTTGAATCTCATGAGATTTCTAGTGGCCCAATCCTCCAATTTGTCTAAGTCACTCTGGACCCTATCTCTGCCCTTAAGCGTATCTACCTCTCCCCCTAGCTTAGTGTCATCTGCAAACTTGCTGACAGTGCAATCTATCCCCTCTTCCAGGTCATTAATAAAGATATTGAACAAAACCGGTCCTAGAACCGAACCTTGGGGCACTCCGCTAAAAACCGACCACCATCCTGACATCGAACCGTTGATCACTACCCGCTGGGCCCGGCCTTCTAGCCAGCTTTCTATCCATCTCACCATCCATTTATCCAATCCACATTCCCTTAACTTGCTGGCAAGAATAGCGTGGGAGACCGTATCAAAAGCCTTAAAATGACCCTATTTCCTCCCCTCCCCAATTTTGCTAGTTCATGCCACGTAGAGGAAATAATTCTTTAATCTGTAGCTCAGTGTCACATCTGAAGCCCTGAAAGGTCTGATGAACACTTAGACGTCTGGTTTGCCAGGAGAGAGAGTACAGGAATTCTACTAACTGCACAGACAGCAGCCTTTGAGTGAGACAGAACAATTTGCTGGAACCCTTTAGCTTAGCAAGAAAGACTGAACTTGTGGGGAAAGCACTAGAGTAGGATTCATGAAAGCTAAATTCACTTCCTGACTCTGTAATAGGGTTTCAGTGTGAATTTGGGCAATTTACTTAACCATAGAATCATATAACCATAGAGCTGGAAGAGACCTCAGAAGGCCATCAAGTCCAGCCCCCTATCCAAGGCAGGACCAATCCCAACTAAATCAACCCATCCTGGACTTTGTCAAGCCAAGACAGTTTTGTCAACGTATTTTACAGGCCCATATTTTACTGTCTTAGCTCTAACTTAAAATGTTCTTTTTTAAATTAACATAATCTTACAGTTAAATGTAGTTATAATTAGATTGTAGATAAAAATGCATAATTTAAAAAGTTCTAGAGACTTAAAAATAAAAGAAAAATCTAGTCCAAAGTTTTAAGTACTGTTATTTATTTAGCACTGTGCCCACTTATTACTATCATGGAACAATGGCAGAGTATTTCCAGGCTATTTAATTACTTGGTAATCATATTAGGCTTGATTCAAATCTCACATGCAAAAATTTCACTTCTGTAAAGACATTGACTTCAGAAGAGTTGCTCTTAAATTTACTCTCATGTAAATGACAGGAAAATTTGATCTACAGTACTTGCACCTTCTAATTTATAGTTTAAGTGATGTGGTAGCTATTTTCTTAACTCATTAAATGTATAACTATGGAATAATTTGTGTTACAAAGGACTTTACGTATATTATCTAGTTAAGCCACCATATAATGTGAACAAATATTTAATAATTATTTGGTTAGACAGGGACAAATTCAAAATTCAATTACACTGGTGTAAATATAAAAGGATACAAGTGAAACTGATGGAGTCACTCTGATTTTACACCAGTTAAGAATTCAGTCTGATACGCTGGTGCTTCCAAACCCTGGGGGAAAACCATTTTTCTTGACTGTACTACACACGTTCCTCATAAAATTATGGTTAAATATTCAAAAAATTATTTAATACATTGTCAAAGAAAAAGCATCTCTGCAAATCTGAGTTAGCCTACTGCATGGGTACATCTCGGATGATAGAGTGTTGCTAAGGTAACTACTAATTTCTACCCAAGAGTAAACAGTTTCATAAAGCTTGACAGCTTATTTCATTTTGTAAGATAGACTCTGGGGCAAGGCACGCATTTTATTTCCTCTTCAGATATTGACCCTACTTTGGGTTGTGCACCCCTATGTCTGTTTAAATCAGAGGTCACCTCTACCATCTGCCAATAAAACTCTGAAAGTAGCAGCCAATAACTCCGACCCCTGAGGTCTGTCAGCTTCACATATCCTTTGCTTTTTGTTCCATGTCAAGTTTATGAGTCAAATTTCTTGACTCACACAGTGAGGCGTAGAAATAGTTTCTTGGCAAAATCATGTGGCAGGCTTCTAAGTAAAGATACATAGCTGCCACTACCTTGTTTTCCTCTTTAATATGAATTCCTACAGGAAGTGAGCCTGTTATTAAACTGTTACCTTTTCACATATTGGCATTAAATTAGCGGAATCCCTTGTTAGAAATAATGGGCAGCTGTTAGTAACTCATTGAAAATGCACAGCACTGCTTAACTGTTTATTGGAACCCCATGTAAAAGCACATTTTCCTGTCATCATTTATGAGTAGCTAATGTTCTCAGTCCTTTTCTTCACCTCTTCCTATTCTTTTGTTGCCAATGTCTCGTGTTTGTAGAATTATGTGTTTAACTCTATTCTTTTTTCCTCTGAAAGAGACACTGTACTCTACCTGACACATTACTCTTGTCATTGCTTCTGGGGATATGAATTCAATACTTGTCATGTTGGTCCAGCTTCTCCTTTGTTGCAAATCAGAGCAGATCCCCTTCAGTTTACACCATCAGAGAAATCGGACTTAGGTGAGTGCAAAGCTACCAGAACTATCATCATTTGTATTAAAAGTAAATAAACTATGAATCAAAATCTTCCCTCAGAATTATTGAATAAAGGCTAAATGACCACCAAATGACCATAAATCTAGATAATGCCTTCTGCACCTGATTAAGTGATGTTACTTCTTCTAAAATAGTTAACTCTATCATAACAGACATAGGCACGGGAACTAAGGGTATGTCTACACTACCCCGCTAGTTCAAACTAGCGGGGTAATGTATGCATACCGCACTTGCAAATGAAGCCCGGGATTTGAATTTCCCGAGCTTCATTTGCATAAGCGGGGAGCTGCCATTTTTAAAACCCCGCTGGTTCGAACCCCGTGCAGCACAGCTACACGGGGCTCGAACTAAGTAGGCACGGGGTTCGAACCAGCGGGGTTTTAAAAATGGCGGCGCCCCGCTTATGCAAATGAAGCTTGGGAAATTCAAATCCTGGGCTTCATTTGCAAGTGCGGTATGCCTACATTACCCTCCTAGTTCGAACTAGGAGGGTAGTGTAGACATACCCTAAGAGTGTGCGGGGGGGGGGGAGGCGGGATGCTGCTGCAGCACCTCAGATTTTAGCTGGGGCTCAGCTCTGTTCTTAAGCTCTTGGTTGCTGAGTCCCCCCTAGAATTCCAGCTGCTGATCATGGAACTTCTGCATCTGCCCCCAACTACAGTATTGGATAGAGGTAACAGAGCTGGCTTTAAGGATTCTCTCTCTGTCCCTCCCGCCATAAAAGTATTCCCAAGCTACTGATAACACAAAAAGAAAAATAACCTAATAAAAAAAGATCAGCATTACCTACCTTTATAATTGCTGTTTGGAAGTTCTTAGGGTTACCGTGATATTCTATATGCCAAGTATAGGAAAATGCCATGACAATGTTAGCTGGCAAAAGATAAAATTTTAAAGATTTTATTTGCAACTAATACAGATAAGATAAATCTCTAGATATAGAAGTGAAGATAAAGGCAAGGGAACTGACCAAGTTCTAATGAATGTCACATCAGCTTTCTATTGCTAAACCGTACGTGGGCATGTCTGTGTTATAAAAGATGCTAAGCAACAGAGAGCCATTTATTTTGTATACTTGAGTATGGTCCATTTAAAAAAAGTCAAAAATACTTATTAAAATTTCTCCTCCACATTCTCAGAAATGAACAAAAGAATATCACCAATTGTAAAGAAACTGAGGCTCATCTGCTTACAAAGAGAGCAACAGAAATTGTTTTGGTTGGAGGAAAATGTTAAGTCAGTGTGGTGTTAACAAGTTAGTGCCCATGACGGTGACATTCTGTGGTAAAAGTGACTTATTTTGGATTTTCCATATATAGAGCTTTACTCAGGGGCAGATGAGAGTGCCGCGGGGCACAGGGCAGCACAATTTTGCGCATGCGCCAGGACCACAGCCGACAGGAATTAGCGCATGCGCGGGGCCTATTGAAGCGCGGGGCCCGGGGCAGCCGCCCCGCTCACCCTACCCTATATCTGCCACTGGCTTTAATGAAACTTCAGTTGATTCAGTCCACTGTTCACTTAAATCCCTAATAATATTTTATCCTCCCTTCACAAAAAATCCTAAATGACTTAACTCACATTTCTGTATATAATGCAAATCAGCACACAAAAAGAGTTAATAAACATAGAACGATTCACATAACACCTCAGTTCTGGGGTGCATATGAGCAAGGTCTAATATGTATTTTAAATTAACAAATGTATTGCACATGTACACATCTACACATAAGTATGCATGAAGCAGAGTCATCAATATACTGAAAAAGGAATTCCTGATCCTCACAAATGAATCTGTCTTTATTAAGAATGATCATAAGATGATCAGTTTTACCAGCATCCCAAATCTGGTTACACTAATGGCTCAAACTGAGAGACTTTCCAATATCTGTTAATCTGCTCTGCTGTATGTATGATATGATTAACTAAACTATAACAAAGATGGTAAGCGCTAGCAAACTATGCAATTATATTCTACTGTTACTCACATGATGGGAAGAAATTGGGCACATTCATAATTCTGTACTATACAATCACAATGACCTAAAGATGGGGCTCTGTAACCACAACTGGATAAAGGTGCCATGTAATCAAATTCATACCAACACATCTTTACTAAATCTCTTTATTCCTTAAAAGATACTGGATTTAAGATATTCTAGGTCAGAGTAAATACGTAAGATCTTGTATTTTGTTATCAACAAAAACCTCTCTAGCACTCTCACAAGTTTTCCCCTTGCTGTTCAAGTCCAGCTGAAGATCTTGATCCCACTTTTACCATGATTCACATAGTGGGATGAGCCAGAGCTCAGTCCTCAATTATGTTACAACAGAGAGCTGAGATACCTATGGAATACATTTTTATAACCATAAGTCTTTGTAAGGTCAAAAGCCTAACTGGGTTCATGTGTGGAGCATAAAGTCTGACTATTCCCAGCCCCTGTGAAGTGAGATAAGTGGCAGGAAGGCTCCTCGTAGTCTCTTCTCTATCTGTACACCCAGGAAGGGCCAGACACCCAGCCAGAGCTATAGCCTGCCCTTGCTGGGTGATGGACCTGATCATCTAATAGACCTTTTCCATCTCTGACTACTTTAATCTTTTTCTTCTTCAGTTTTGTGAGGATTTATACAATTTATACAATTTTATATTATAAAATATAGCAATTTCTCAACTAATACCTTTTGGATCTTTGAGAGAAGCCTTTTGGGTATGGCTCCTATCTGCATAATTATCCTTTCTGGGGGAATGAAGAATAGGTGGATTGCTCTAACAAGCAAACGTATTGTCTTGCCTCTGCTATCGTAATATATTTGTCATATACTACTAAGCCTCTTGCCAGTATCTGCTGTTCTTTGTAACATTTCCAGATGGCCTGTGGCCACTTGCAGTTTAGTAAATAAAGTCATCCCTGATCCAGCAGAACGTTTATATAACTAACGCAGATACTCAATTACCTTGCATAAATCATTGTCCTCTATGTGTCTGTTTTTACAGGTGTAGCAGTAAATAAAATACCTTATTATTTGCAGTTTTCTAATTATGTGAAGAGGTATATTCTGCCAGTGAAAGTATCGGAGGGAAATCTTTAATTTCTTGCCCAGTCAGTGAATTCTTGCTTCTTATGAGGTTGGAAATAATATCTCTATTGCCACTGAGTCACCCAAGATCTCTGATTCCTGAAAGCGAGCCAATACTTCTCGAGAATCAACAGCTCTGGAAGATACACTGTAAAATAAATCAACATAATACATTTAACACTTAAAACTACATTAAAAGAACATTAAGGTTGCAAAGTCAAGGACTTAGAAGTTAAAAGTGCCAGAATTAAAGTTGCCATATGGCTCCCCTTGTGCTTACGCTTTATTATTACATTCTATAATTACATAATCACCTACTGTTTTCCCACAGGAACCCTGCCTTATTCAGTGCACCGGGACAGCAAAAGGCACAGCCTTGACACAAACAAGTCTCATATTTGCAGATGAGGGGTATCTGGAGTGTCTCAAAAAAGAAGTTGCCAGAGCTTTTTAATATGACCCAAACAATGTTTTTCCAAGCCTCTTGCTCAGAAATAACCAAATGTGAAATCTTTCAAAAAACATCAGCCCAAGGCAGATGACCACCATGGAAAACTTCATCCTGAAGGTTAAAATTGGACCACATTGAAAGCAATGTAAAACAATTCCTTATAATGAAAAATGTCAGGCTCTCTTAATAATAGAACCTTTAATCTCTCTTTCTATATAATTTTTTTCCCCTGTGGGATGACAGAATCATGTCATCATATCACTCTGTGTCCCACTGCCTGCCTCTGCCCTCAGCTGCACATCCTCCCTCCCTTGGTGCTCCAGGGAGCCACGAGCCACATGGTTTTCCCCCTCCCTGCACCACCAGCCGCCTCAGACATCCCCTCAGCTGAGACCCCACACTCCAGCCTGTTCACTCTTACCCCCCAAGGTTAGACTCTGCACTCCCAGCCCCCTCACCCATGGAGCTTCCAGGAGGCGGAAGGTAGAAGATGTGTGGACTCCCCCTCCCTGGAGTTCCAGGGAGGAAGGAACCATGAGCTGCATGGCCTTCCCAACCCACACCCTCAGCCCCCTCACATACTCGCTCTACTGAGACACTACACCCTTAGGCTGCTTTTGTTCCCTACCTCCAGCCAGGTTCCTACCCCCAGCAAGAGGGGGGCTGGTGAACATAGTGAACAGGGAGCCAAGGGTCCTAGTATAAACTTATAATACAGAGATATAGAGCAACGGACATTAAGAAACATATCTATACAACTATACGCAAACAAGTTACAAGTTGAACCTCTCTAGTCCAGAACTCTGTGGTCCAGAAATATCTGGAAGGATTTTAGTCCACTTTTCATGGGCATGGACAAGTTTCCCGGGTCCCATAAAATTGTTTACAGACACCAGAGTTCTGTGTTATTATTTAGCTCTCATTTACCCCTAAATGTCTTCTAAGAGCCCAGTAAGCAGTGGAAGTGTTGGTAATACTGATAGACAATATTGACCTCCTTTGGTCTGGAAAATTCTCTGGATGGAACTGGTCAGGTGTGGTGTATGAAGGCACGGACTCCGGCCGGAGCAAGCACAAAATCATTTTATTGCAAGATTACAACTATCTTTATACCCTCTCAACTTCCCAAAAGTCCACATCCTGCTTTTCACAAACTGTGCTTTTTCACAGTCCCAAACACAGCATTCTCGAAGGTCATTGACTCAGGCAGATGTTGTTATTGTTGGCTCAGGACTCTTGATTACACGCGTTCCCGCTGACTCTCGGATTGTCCTCCACGGTCTGCAGCTTTTCTTGGTTTTGTCCTTGGGATGCCCTGTCACACGGCCAAAGCACTATACTTGTTGATTCTCTACAGTCAGGTACCGAGGGTTCTAGAATAAAGGGGTTCAACCTATACTGTACAACAGAGATAAGCTCTTCAATTAAAGTGAAAATTATCTACCAAAAAAGTCAAACCTAGAATTTGCATATAAACAAGTCCACCAAATTTGCTCTGAGGTTTTCTCTTTTGCCATTTATATCTACATTTCCTTTTTAGTCTGAGCAATAATTGATTTAAAATTCAGGTTGAAATCTGGGCCGCACTAGTCAATGGGAGTTTTACCACTGATTTTTCTGAAAACAAGATTTCCTCCCCTTCCTAGTCATAGAATTTGATTTAAAATGTAGTCCCTCTTTTTTATATTGTACCTCTTGAGGCTGGGATTTGACCCTTTTTCTTCTTTGAAAAGTGGGTAGCACATTTTGGGTGCCATCATGATGTCTAATATATAAAGGAGAATGTTTGTAAGTTTGTGCGTTAATAACTTAGACACTATAAGAGCTACCGCAACCAAACTTTGCATGGGCTAACCTTTCATCCGGGAGAAAGTTTTAAGGTGCTTTTGGACCCTAATGGGCCCCACCTCAAGCTGTAAAAATAAAAAAGTAACCCGCCACACTGCACTACAGGGGCCGCCGCGCCCTCCCTAGGTCCCGTGCCCGCTGCCCCACCCACCCTAGGTCCTGTGCCTGCTGCCTGTGGCCCCAGCACCGTCCAGGACTCGCCCCCTCCTGCCCGTGAGGTTATATAAGTGACCCTCTTCCCCCTCCCCGCCACTGGCATGCAGTACCCTGACTCCCACGTGCACAATAGCTCAGGCACCCACCCTGCCCCCCGCAGCACCTGCAACCCTGAGTGTGATCTGGGGCACCCCTCCTGCATGTAACCTCCCCTTCACCCAGGGTTGCACTTGCCCCCCCCTCCCCCTGGGGATGATGCAGAACTATATTTTAATGCCTATAAAAATCAGTGCAACTTTTCTACCATTCAAAAAAAGAAAATGGACTACTGTTTTTCTACATTTTGTTCCTCTGGTTTCCTGAGCAACGCCGGGTAACTCCAGCTAATAAATGTCGGTCCAATAATGAATGATACATCAATACCACAAGGAATATACATATTAACAGTTAATAGCAAATAGGTACCAGGTTCCCCTTTTTAAGCAATGTCTTTGGCTGTTCCGATCATAGTTCTCTCATTCTTTCTTCACCTCTTGTGGAATAGCTAACAAGCTTACTCTGCACTGCTGAACTCTTTGAGGGTTGGTGACTAACCTGAAGCAAATGCTTTGGAGGGCAGGGTCAAAATTCAAAATGACCTGGACAAACTGGAGAAATGGTCTGAGGTAAATAGGATGAAGTTTAATAAGGACAAATGCAAAGTACTCCACTTAGGAAAGAACGATCAGTTTCACACATTCAGAATGGGAAGTGACAGTCTAGGAAGGAGTCCTGCAGAAAGGGATCTAGGGGTTATAGTGGACCACAAGCTAAATATGAGTCAACAGTGTGATGCTGTTGAAAAAAAGCAAACATGATTCTGGGATGTATTAACAGGAGTATGGTGAGCAAGAGATAAGGAGTCATTCTTCTGCTCTACTGTGCCCTGATCAGGTCTCAGTTGAAGTATTATGACCAGCTCTGAGCACCACATTTCAAGAAATATGTGGAGAAATTGGAGAGGGTATAGAGAAGAGCAACAAAAATGGTTAAAGGTCAAGAAAATGATCTATGAGGGAAGACTGACAGAATTGGGTTTGTTTAGTTTAGAAAAGAGAAAACTGAGAGGGGGACAGGATAACAGTTTCCAGGTACCTAAAGGGTATTACCAAGAAGAAGTAGAAAAATTGTTCTCCTTGACCTCTGATTATTGGAAATGGAGCAATACACTTAAATTGCAGCAAGGGAGATTTAGATTGGACGTTAGGAAAAACTTCCTAACTGTCAGGGTGATTAAACACTGCCAATAAATGTCCTAGAGAGGTTGTGGAATCTCCATCATGGAAAATATTTAAGGGTAGGTCAGATAGATGACTACATGATGCTTGGTGCTACTATGAGGGCAGTGGACTAGACTTGATGACCTCATGAAGTCCCTTTCAGTTCTAGTATTCTATGATTCTGCTCATTCTACCATAAAAGAAGATGGCAGAGATTAATAGATATCTAGGTTACCCACATCATGAAGTCACTTGTGTTTTTTCTGAATTACCGGTTTCCAGGTGGAGAGGCAGTGGTGTTGGTGCAGTCTCCTCCTCCATCTTGATAAATTTTCCCTTTTACTTTCAGAGAAGGACTGGCCTGAGAAAGCTGCCTTCTGGGCAGGCCACAGAGTACATCTAGACAATCTAAAAGCACTCCTACTTTCTATTTACACTCTTAGTAGTCTATGCAGCTGGAAGATGAGAATAATGGGAATCAAACAGTTCCATCACAGGAATATCAGCTAAAAATATGTATCCATATCTTGGCCTCCTCACATTCAGCAACTACTATTCACTATGGGTATGTCTACAATACAAAGTTAATTCGAACTAATGGACGTTAGTTCGAATTAACTTTGATAGGCGCTACACTAGCGCTCCGCTAGTTCGAACTTAATTTGAACTAGCGGAGCGCTTAGTTCGAACTAGGTGAACCTCATTCTACGAGAACTAAGCCTAGTTTGAACTTACTAGTTCGAATTAAGGGGTGTGTAGCCCCTTAATTCGAACTAGTGGGAGGCTAGCCCTCCCCAGCTTTCCCTGGTGGCCACTCTGGCCAACACCAGGAAAACTCTATTGCCACCATACCGGCCCCGGATCCCTTAAAGGGGCACGGGCTGGCTACGGTGCCCGTGCCAGGTGCAAGCCTGCCAGCACCCAGCCAGCAGACCCTGCACCTGGC